TCTTGCATTGTTCCTTGACTTTGCTGCGGGTAAGCCTTTGTTTTCTTCTTGGGTGCTTCGTTAACAATTCTCGCTCGCGCTCGTCCACAATCGTCCATCTTCTCCAGCTTTACAGTTAGGTCTGTGTTCTCTGCGTGACGGTGTTCCTTGCTTCTTCTGTTTAATATTCGCCGCAGTTACACTGTAATTCATATACCCAGCTTGGAGAGATATTATTCTCAGTCTTACTTAATGACGCACTGAGCTTTTGGAGCTTTTATTGTTTTTATTGGAGCTTTTGCATATAACATCAGTATTATATTTAGTGTTAAGTAATCCTTGTAGCTTTTCACTCAGGATTTATGATGCAGAGTATACTTTATACTTATTTATTTTAAGTAAGTTTTATTATTAGTCGTATTAGTGTTATTGTTAGGTTGATCTAAAATAGTCTGCGACCCGAAACGAGAAGCAGTAATGGAAGATGAAGAAGTTGAAGATGATCTAAAGTAGATTATTCTATGGGCTATGACATTATTAACGAATTTTGCTGGATAATTATTGTTGTTGCGTAAGGTTAATTTTATATACGTTATTTCGTCTTCAAAAAATTCATTACTACTGAGTTTCAGGGCTCTGCCTATTAAGGCTGTAATAACCACAAGGCGTTAAATCTTTACTTGATTATGTGGTTTAAAATTTAAATATTCGCCAGTGTTAACAGGTTTGCGATAAACCTTTGTTTTATAGCAGTTCCCAAAGTTAATTATTAAGGCATCAAGAAATGTTAAACGAGAGATGTGTTCAATAATTATCTCGACATTTAAGGGGTGGGCTACTGAGTAGGTCTGTCAACTTATTTTCGTCACCTCTCACAGATGGTCGAAAACCCTTGGTTAAAAGTTCATCAGAGTTTATGTCTCCACCCATATTTTCAGAGTGCTCCATGAAAATTTTGGCAAGGATGGGGATAAGTGCTCCATGAGTGCTTCTTTGGTTTGTATGAAGTAACTGCCATCGAAAGAGAAATAATTCACCTCTGTCATACCGAAACTCATTGGCTCTGCGATAAAGTTAGCAGAGAGGTTAGTACGTTGTTTATATACTTAGATACAAGAAAATAGCTGCAACCTATCTTCCAAGAAATGGACCGAAGCGAAGTCTGTGGCAGCCTTCTACATGATTTTTATAGCTAGGACTACACTTGTTTCATATGAGACGATGCGGGGTACGGAAGGAAACTAAATAATCTTCTGAAAGATATTAATACCTTTGTTAGTAAAAATGTGGCTCGAGACACGAGCCCAGACCTTTTTCCAGGGGTTCTCAAAAGATACGTTGGCGATATTTTTGCCATCTGTCCAAGTGGTGATAAAAACAAATTACTAAACCTCCCCAATAGATTATTCTTTAAATATAAGGAGTTAACTATTGAAAGAGAAAACAAATCCAGTCTCCCAAGTTTTGATGCTTAATATTTAATTACCGTAATTGTTATAAAATTAAAGCTTATCATAAACCTTTTACACTGACAAATATGTGAATTTTAACTCACATAATCAGTTAAACAATAAATGTTCTGTGGTTACAGCTTTAATAGACAGAACCCTGAAGCTCTGTGGTAATGAATTTTTAAAGACGAAATAAGGTAAATTAAATTAACCTTATGCAATAACAATTATTCTGCAGATTTTTTTAATGACATCACAAGCCGTAGAATAAGCTGCTTTAGATCAGTCTGTAACACTAATATTACTAATAATAAACCTTACTTAATTCTACCATATCATAAATCTCTAGTGAAATGTTACTTAACAAGAATTACTTAACACTAATAACGAAATACTAATGTTATATCTAAAAGCTTTCATAAACTTAGTCAGTTATTAAATAATTCTGAAAATAATAACTCTAGGCTGGGTTTACAAATTACATTGTAACTGCGGGAAATATTACATAGGAGGAACAGGGAACACCGTCACGC